CACACTGCATCCATTGCTGTTTTTTGAAGACATCTTTCAGCAGGTGAATGCATTTCTTGTTATCTCTTGAGTTTCCTCACTCTTCTGTTCGAATTTAATAACCATTCTGAATTCCCCCTGATATTGCTGCCGCTGAGGTGAGGATGTAATAGAGGTACTAAACAAATCGTGTTTTACACATGAAATGATGTCATCACGGTGGAGTAATATATTGCTCCCTGTCATGTAGGAGGTGCGGGTGTTTAGTCTTTTCATATCTTCCTTAGAATCTTCTAAGCTGACTTCAGTAGCAAGTCGTAAATTACATAATACATGTACCACAGCTAATAATGCAGAGAAGATCATTTTGTCTGCTTTGATGGCCAGACAGCATGATAAATACAACTTTTTTTTTTCATCAAAGGGTGACCTTCTAAGTTGTTTTCCTCGCTTTGCTCTACAGCCATTTCCCATGTTTTCTTCCTTTCCTGTGATTTGGTAGAGCGGAGTGTGGGTACATTGGAGAGCCCAGGTCGAGTATCCTTATTCAGCTGGACCTATACAAAGGCCATTTCCCTGTGGATTTGATGGTAATTACTTTCCCCCTTGATGACAACCCCATTGAATGTAGATTAAGCCAATAACAAATGTGTCACGCAGCGCCAAACGACATCCTGTCATTAGGAGGATTTTTTCCTTGCATGGCATCAGCTGGCCCCTCTCTGCATCCTCACCGACTGCACCCGCTCGTGGGCGAGTGCAACCGCTGCCAGCAGATGAGGAGTGGCAGATGAAGCCCACAGAGGAAGTCTCATCAATAATGGAGAGCGGTAGCAAAGGGATTCATGCAGAGGAATTGTGGATGGCATTAGAGTGCATTGCAGCTGGTGTGTTTGAGTCATTTCTCCCAATATACATATTTTTAATAGAGTTAACACCACAGGGTACATATAGAAGAAAGGCAAATATTAATAACTGATAGACTGAATGAATAATTTCGTTGTTTGGAAAGGTTTTTAGGGGATAATTGGGATTTTGAATAACGACTATCATAAAATACTTTAAAGTATTTCAGAATAAAATATAATGAATTTTATGAATGTTCAGAATCCATGCTTACTTATTTTTTTTTTTTGTATGGATGTTTTAGGAGAGTATTAAACCAGAAAAAAAAAATGTCATCAGTTTTTCTTTATGTCCTCGGTGTCACGATAGTTTACGACTGCCCTGTGGTCTCCAGGATCAATCCACAAACAATGGATTGCAACAAATCTAAGAAATAATTGATTTATCATAAATTAATGCTACTTGCATCCTTTCAGAATCCTATCTTTCCTTGCATCGCATGAGAAAAAGATTTTAATCTGCATAATTCCCCTATACATATGACGGTTTTAGGCCCTCCACTAACAGTTTCAAACACTATTAAAAAGTTCACATGAGTTTATCTTAAGCATATAAGGATACATTAAGAAAATGTTCTGAAGTCCAGTGTGCATTTTTATTAAGACTATATATTTGTGTTACAAACTGTTTTAGGAGTAACTGGATGGCATGATAACTGGGTTAGGAACTGTTTTAGTTTTCAATTCAAAAAGTAGTTTAACTAATTGATTTTAACATTTTGGCCACTGCATTACTATTATGTAATGTGCTAGTTTGCTATATCTCAATCTTTTTCATAAGCATACATTCTGCTGTGGGAGAAAACCGCTTTTTCTTTTTAGTGCAAGGAGAGAGCAGGAGATCTACGATAAAGGCTTACCAGCCAATCAGCAGCTGAGAAGAGAGACACACGCTCTTCAGATTCAATGACAGCGTTCCTAAACTGGAAGTACTCGCTGAAGACAAAGGCTAAATCTGCCTGTCGTTAGCTCACTTGCAAGTAGTAAGTTATTAATCAATGACTTAATCTGAGATTGATTGGGCTAATCGATTGATTTATGATTAACTGATAAGCGTCCATTCTTTGAAAAACTTGACTTTTCTTATGTATCTAGAGGAACTCTCCATTATATGAAGGGTTAAATAATTTTTTAACATTATGTTGAACAAAACAGAACATCATTAAAATATTTTTTTTAAATCTTACACATTTTTAAACATGTTTATAATATATAACAAACCAAGAAAATATTAATTTGATTTAAAAAAAAAAAAAAGTTAAATAGGTAAAACACTTATGATTTCCAAGGTTTTTACAAAGATGTATGCTGTCAGACTATTTGCCGTGCTTCAATGAAGTGGATGGTAACTGTGATATAGCTCCTTTTTTTTTAGTTTATACCATAGTCAGTGCTGGAAAGACTTTGTGCTGTTGCTCCCTCTTGCTCAGTTAATAAAAAACAACAACATCAGCTACCATAACTATGCAGACGACACACAGCTTTACATCACCATGTCACCAGGTCATTATGAACCAATTCAAGCACTGATGAGGAAATGTTTAGAAGAAATCAATGCCTGGATGTGCCATAATTTTCTTCAACTGAATAAAAACAAAACTGAAGTAATAATCTTTGGACCAATAGAGGAGAGATCTAAAGTTAGCACACAGCTTCAGTCGCTTCAGCTAGTAACCACTGATCAGGCCCGAAATCTAGGTGTAGTGCTGGATTCAGACTTAAAATTCCAAAAGCATTTAAAGCCAATTACAAGGTCGGCATTCTATCACCTGAAGAACATTTCCAGGATTAAAGGACTAATGTCTCAGCATGATCTGGAAAAACTAATCCATGCGTTTATTTTTAGTCTAATTGATTACTGCAATGATGTTTTCACAGGTCTGCCTAAAAAGTGGATCAGACAGCTGCAGCTGATCCAGAATGCTGTTGCCCGTGTCCTCACTAAGACTAAGAAAGTAGAGCACATCACCCCAGTTCTAAAGTCCTTACACTGGCTGCCTGTATCTCAGAGAATAGACTTTAAAATACTTCTGTTAGTCTATAAATCTCTGAATGGCTTAGCACCTAAATACATCACAGACTTGCTATCAGTGTATCAACCCTCCAGACCACTCAGGTCTTCTGGCTCCAGCCTGCTCTGCATACCTAGAACCAGAACTAAACATGGAGAAGCAGCATTTAGTTCCTTTGCTCCACTTATCTGGAACAAACTTCCAGAAAACTGTAAAAGTGCGGAAAGCCTGAGTTCCTTTAAATCAAGACTAAAAACACATTTGTTTAGGATGTTTTTAATATTCTTTTTTGTTTTTTGCATTTTTTATTTTATTTTATAATTTTTTTATTTTTTCCTACTTGCTTTGATTCTGTTTTATTTCCCTGTATTTGAATCATGTAAAGCACTTTGCATTGTCTTTGTACTGAACTGTGCTATACAAATAAATTTGCCTTGCCTTGCCTGTTGGCAGTGCTTTGAAACGGGAGGTTCTGGTTGCTCTCTAGTTGCTCTAATTCTCGACTTTCCATTTTTTAATCACGAAAATACAATATAACAGTTTCTCTTTTACAGGGTGAAAGGTATATGTTTGCATTTGAGCTTGAAAGTTTTAACGTTATTCTATCAATTAGCCCAAATGCTGTTTGAGGGGACCCTCACACCAAGAACGCTTGTAACGAAAGTGGAGAGAAAAAACTCCTTTTTAACTGCAAGAAACCTTCAGCAGAACCAGACTCAGTGTGAGCGGCATTCTGCCAAGGCCGACTGGAGTTCAAGGAGAAAGAAGCAGAAATAAAAAAATAAGCATAGATACAAAAGGCAACTGTCAACCAGCTCCACAGGTGGCCCCGTCCAGGAAAGACACAGGCAGGCAAATGAGCTCCGAGCCAGCTCCTATGTCAGAGGATGAAAGAGAGTGCATAAATTTATGTACAGTCAGAAAAACAGGATTACACTGAAAAACAATATCTATAAACAAATATTTATAAACTTATAATAATACACTTATATTTCTCTCCAGGATGGTGTCAGAGCCAATCAGGAACAGACGAGATGAAGCTACTATGATGAGAAAAAGCAGAGAGAACATAGCCTTGGAGATTGAACAAACTAATTCTGCAGAATGGAAGAATAGAGATAGATTGCAGCAAAATTATGAAAACGGGTCCCTATGTCCTCCAGCAGTCAAAGCCTATAGCAGCATAACTATAGAGATAGCTTGGGATAACCTGAGCCACTCTAACAATAAGCTTTATCAAAAAGGTAGTTTTAAGCCTACCCTTAAAAGTAGGCACAGTGTCTGCCTCACGGACTAAAACTGGTATTTGGTTCCATGGCAGAGGAGCCTTATAATAGGAGCCTTATAATATAAAAGATCATTCTTCTGTTAGAAATTCTCGCAACCAATAGTAAACCTGCAGAGGGAGAGTGAGGCGCTCTCTTAGGACCATAAGGAACAATTATATCACTAATATATATCCAAGAACACTATCATTTAATAACATGGCTGGCACTCTTTGGGTGTGAGTTTATTTTAACTTTGGCTTGTGGCAAACTTGGCTATTCCTGCTGTATACATGTATTCTCTGGTCTTCAATTAGGACTGGTGTACACTGCTAGTCTGGAATTCCTCCATGGAGCGCCAACGTCTAAGATATAATAGCATTACAGTAATAAACCACCACAATCACACAAGCTGTAAGCAGTTTTAGATCCCTCATTCAAAAGTAATGAGGAGCAACACTGCATTCTTGAGAAATCCAAGAAAAACTTTCTAAGACCCTGCAGGGACCATCCATGTTCTGGTTGGTTGATAGTGTCTTGTTGCAGTCTTAGTCTGGTGTGAAGGAGGCCTAAGGCAGTGTATAACGTATGCACAGAACTGGATCGCTCAGTGTTTATCTCCACTGACAGCTGTCCAGATACAAACACAAAAACCTGTCACACTCCAAGGCTCTGACAATGACCCACTGGCTGTTATGGTATGGCAGCGTCCCCTCACAGCTGTCATCCTGCTCATTCCATTTTTTTCAATGGCTCTCATTGTATTTAGGAGAGGAGGCCCATTCTTACTTACAACTCTCTTCCCTGTCTTACTCTCTCTTGTGCTTCTGTTTCTTCAGGGGCTAGGCCTGAGGATGTAAAACTGTGGGGAGATTTCGGATGTCGCTCATGACGCATCTTCTATTCCTCTTGACCACCTTGAGCTGTGAACATCTCCGCTCCTCTACTGTCAAGCTCACACAACGGATCGTGACAGGAGCTGAGGGCACTGGAGGCCAGGAAAACACCAAAGGAGGGGCCTGAGACTGCTCCTGCTTGTGAGTAATGTTTTGTCCTCACGTTTTTTGTTTGTTTTTTGTTTTTTGGGGGGGGGGCACATTTCCTACTAGTCAAGAGGGAATGCTTATCATTTTACTATTTGTTTTTGAGCACCAAAAACGAAAATTGCTTATCTCTTGAGTAAACAATGAACGAATGATACTGGTCTCTTTGGTGGAGAGAAGGGAAATCTATCCAAAAATGTTTTCCAGTTATGTCAGGATGGGGCTTTGTTTTGGTCTGTAAAAAGCTGTCAGGCTGACCTTGACCATTATGCTTTTGTTCAAGTTTTACCACCGAAACATCATAGCTGTCTTTTTGTATGTTTCAAAGAGCTGCATTTGAAACTCTTTGGTTCAAAGGATGTTGTTAAAGGGACAAATGAGAAAGTGATTGTATCCTTTCTTGACTTCTCATCTTTCTCATTGTCCACTGGCTGTCCACTGGCAGGTACCATTTTCCCTGGAATTGCAAAGAGTTTGGTTGATCATAGGGGACAAACTGCTGCTACTCCACATCCGCCACCCTGAACCTGCTTCACACATCTGACAACTATAAAAAATTGATCTGTATATGCATGCCTCTTCCGATTTTGAGGCTGAAGATAATCTTAAGGTGCTAAGACAGCAAATGATTAGAAGAAGAGGTGTTAGAAGGAGAAGGAAAAACAGATTAGTGTGATAAATTGCTTTTAGGCTCTGTTGTCTCACTGCTGCATTAAAAAGCAATAGTGTGGTTGTGTAACCGGACAGCCTGGGGTAAGGAGGATGTAAACTTTCCACCACTTGTTGAAAAGTCTTGGCTAAAACCCTTTAGGTTGGCAAACACACACTTCTAGGCAATATTTTACTTATAAACTGCTTAGTAAAAAAAACAAAACAAAAAAAAAATCAATCTGGTTTATATGCTAAATTAGTTATTGGAACAAGCATATTTTCCTTTTAAGTTAATGTAGAAATAGAATCTTTTTTATCCCTAAAAAATAATTAAACTGATCACAAGCTCCTCTCAGTCACTCTAAATAAGATCTCAGCAGCTACTATTGAAAATGTAAAGGTATGACTTGCTTTGATTCATATCCAAGGGAAAGTATAGGAGATGATTTATGACCTCTCCATTCAATGGTTTTTGGTGTTTCATTTTAACAGTACAAATTGCTGCTAAACACATTTGCATATTGAAATATGTTTTTTATAATGAGATTAAAGCTTGTTATTAAATTATTACTTAGGATTAAAGTTTTCCTATACTTAGATTACCAGTAATTAGTGAGTGGAGGTACAATGGTGAGGGCAACTGGTTAGCAACCAGACCATTTGCTTCATCAAACTACTGCAGAGATTGGAGGTCAAAACTCAGACCGTCCCCGAAACAAAACAGGTTTGGGTAAAAATTTAGAAACATTTTCCCAAGGCATACCTCACAATTTACCCATAGACTGCCGGAGATAGGCACCAGCTCCACCGTGGATGGGAAATAAACTAGGAAAAATGGATTATACTAACAAAGTGTATGTTGACTACTGTTAACAACTCCATGTAGGCTAACAGGTGGTTGTCCTATATTTTGCCATATGTACTACATGTAAAACATGTCTTCCTTCCTATGCCAGGTTATGATTATTGCATTCTTGCTCTACAGAAAGGGGCTGGGATTTCTGCTGTGTCCACTAGGTGGCAATGGCAATTCTTGAGCAAGAACAGTGCAGATGTGTGAGCAATGCCACATGATAAAAAATGCCTGAGTGATAGTTTGTTCAAGTGTAAATCGCTCATGAAAAGACGATAAAGTTATTGAATGTGTATTCAAAACAGTTATGCAACTAAGCAGACTGTCAGGGTCACCTTAGAAAATATTGGTTTTGTTGATGCTCATTTCATCTCATTGAGTACAGGCCATATTGTTCTGGCCTATGAAAAGGTTGCCTGATGAAGATTGGTAAATAATATTTAAATGCAATTTTTATTTCACAAATCCATCCAGAATGGTTCAAAAGGAAAACTTTTGTCAGCCTCTTGTTATTTACATTTTTTAATACAAAGTCTTTCACTCTGCTTAAAACCACTGTTGCCATCTACTAATTTTTTACAGCCTTTTTTTGTTGTTGCACAATCTGTACAACTATGATAGGAGAAAGAAATTTTGTTTCAAGGATTTCCAAATTTAGGGGTTTGGCTTCAAATAGGGAATGATGAATTAACAAGTTTGAGTTTTAAAAGTTAAATTTCTGTAATAAAATAAATTATCTTCAAAATGTGCATAATTTAAAGTCATACAGGCCATACATTGGTGTATACAGTATGTAGCTTTCTATATGATGACCTTTCTGCTCATGGTACCACCTTTTGCTGTTTGGATTTCTATCTTTTTCTCTCTCTCTCTCACGGTCTCACTCTCTCTTTTGGCAAAAACCATAGACTGAGTTGCAGGTCCTAGCATGTTACACCTAGTGTGGTGTGGAGAGGCTGCAGGGAAACAGAGCAAAAACAGTATGAGGGAGTCAGGTTCAAGGGGGGCCAAGAATTATCAGGTTTTTTTTTGCAGACAATCTTTCAATCATTATTTGTACTAACGAACCAAATGAAAGAGGGTGTTGAGGTGTTACTAGGAAAGCAAGTGACAGCGGGTAAAGGAGCATTAAAACTTGTGTTTTAAAGATGCTTTAGGTGGGTGGGGGTCCAAAAGAGCATATTTTATGCATATATTATGCATATATTATGCATATATGTTAACACATTAAAAATGTTAAAATGATAGGAAATAAAAATTTTGAAAGTAATTTGTAATGAGAATGTCGCTGTAAATTAAATCAGATGACACATTTTATAAAAACTCAGTGTATTAGTAAACTATGTTGCTTATTTTCCACCTTTTCTGTTGTTTTTTTGTTTAAGTCCACAAATAGTCGGGGTAATCAGTCTTCTTTACTACAACATGTGGGTCATAAGCTGACATTCTGGAAAATCCCTGTTTTTGAAGACTATTTAACAGATGTTAGGAGGCATCATATTAGCATCTGTAACATCTAAAAAAATCAATGCAATGTCTTATTTTTGGGTCTCATCCACAGATAGTTTTGTGCAGCAGAATTTAGAGATTTTTTTCAATCAAACAGGATCGAAACATAAACACAGCTTGCAGTTCTAAACAATCCTTCAAGTTATCTTGTTAGGGATGAGCATTGGTGGGAAAGTGTAGAGATGGGTTCTTGCAAGCAGGTCACAGCTCAATGTCTCTTTCAGAGCACACCATATTTCGTGTGTCCTCACATAGTTAACAGCAGAACATAGCAATGGTTCACTATGTATCTTCCTGTCAATAGGAACACATCTCTATACCAGTGGCAACTTCTCATGGAATACTAAAGAGGCTACTGTAAACTTCCCAGTAAATTACATAAAATAATTGGTAAAATATGAATTGTCAAACTTAGTAAATGTATGTCATTAAAAATGTGTTGGAGTGCGCCTGATTTCATTAGTACAGTGAAAAAATATTGCAAGCATTATTGGCATTTATTTAATCATAAATAGTTACTTTAACACAGTAGTTTCATAGTAGCAGGGTAGGACATAAAACAATTGTGTTAAAGTAACTAAATATGATTCATTAAATGCCAAAAGCAGTTACATTATTTTTTCCAGTGTATGTTGCGCATTATTCAGCTGTTTATTCTGCTCTGGAACAGCAGGACTCTGCCTCAGCCTCTATGAGAAATCCTTGTTGAAGTTTGAGCCTAAGTCCATTAAGGTTAAGGTTAAGGTTGAATAAAAGAGCAAACAGCAGGGGTCTGTTTCATGAAGCAGATGTAACAAATTCAGATTCAAATCTGCAACTCTTAGTTGATCTAGCCAAATGTCGAGAACTCTGAGTATTGGGTTTCACAACGACCGCTATCAATTAGTTCAATCAATCTTAACTAGGTCCACTCAGAGTTAAGGGTGTGTGCAACAAGTATGAAAAGCCATTATAAGAGGAGCACCGATTCGACGAGTCACCATGACAACAGGCAACAGGAAGTTCCTAGATTTTAAATCAGAAAAGGAGATGAAAATGGTGAAAGAGAAGATTATTGCTCCAGTTAATACATAAGTTCATATGAGGTGGACTGTAGCAGGCCGTATTTAGATTTAATAAAAGCACTCCTGTCTGCTCCATTTGTAGATCACTAAAATTAGATTATTCGTCATTAAAATCACACTCTTAGATTTAACTGTAATATATTTTCAGAATTACATTTTTGTTGCAGAAACTGAATTTTAGAAAGTAAAAAACAAAACAAAATTATACTAGTAAGAATTAAGTTTTCAATATGAAGAAGTTTACACATTTTAAGTGGCCGTTTTAACATTTATCAGCTTGACTGAAAATGTATCTATGATATTTGAAATTTGTTTTATCATAGTTAATATAAATACTGACCAGTAATATTAGGAATATGGATATCTGAAATTAAGTTCTAGACATCCAGTGTTTATTCTAGATGTGGAGAATATCCTTTTGTTTGAAATGGTCATTTAGATTAAGAAAACGTGTTTTTCTGATATCAGGAATGCATAATCAGTAAAACTAGTACATATCAAAATGGCTTGCCATAGTGTTGTTAAAATTAAAATATTGGGGGATTATTCTTTTAATGGTGGTAAATCAATGTATCTATGAAGAAGATGAAGAATAAAAACATTGTTGTAATATATAGAACCTGTGGATCATCTAATGGGTTCATCCTCATGTTGATTCAGTCTTCTTTTACACAGTACAGTGAATATTTGCAGACAAATGGCCGTTATAAGCGACTGTCAGGCAAAAAGGGCTCAGATGGCTTCAGATGTTTAGAAAGAAATCCTGCAGTATTTCAAAAACAAAAAAACTCCAGACAAATATTAAATTAAAATGTTTCTGGGTCTGTTTTCTTCTCTATGTTAGTTGTACTTTGTTCTCTAATCCTGTTTTGGGGTTACTGCTGGATGACTGACAATTTACATCGGCACACATCGCA